AAGCCAGGGTCATGAAGATTTATGTCTATGTATTCTTCTAAGAGTTGTTAGTTTTAGCTCCTACATCAAGGTCTATAATTCCTTTTGAGTTAATTTTTGTATATGGTGTGAGGGAGGGGGTCCAGCTTCAATCTTTTGTATTTGGATATCTCATCCCAGCACCATTTATTGAAAAAATTCTTTCTCTATCAAAGCATCTTTGCACACTTATGGAAAGTCAACTGACTGTAAATGTGAGGGTTGATTTCTGGATTCTCAATTCTATTCCATTAATTTATACATCTCTACTTACACTAGTACTATACTGTTTTGATTACCATAACTTTGTAGTACACTTTGAAATCAGTGCATTCTCCAACTTCATTCTTTTTCGAGATTGTTTTGTTAATGAGGTGCCTTTTATCAGTGGTCTCCCCATCAGAGAAATGGGAGAATTTATCTCAGAAATGTCTATGATAGCAGGAAAATATAGCAAAGATAGATTATAAGTGACCTATAATATATATTTCTGGAGGCCACCAAGGAAAGCTGCCCCCATCAAACCCCCACTGTAGCGCTGGACCTATCAGAAATGGATGGACGGACCATCCAGCTGAGTGAATTACAGTAAGATTTTGCAACCCTGCTCACCTCCTTACACCTGGGGTGGGCTCTTTCTGATCCTTTATGGGGCCTGTTGGGTTGAATTGAATTTGTTTGGTAGATAATGTGGTTAATCTGGGACTACATGGTAGGTCCAATTATTGTTGGCTGCAGAGGTTTAGGAATTCATTTTAGGAATGTCCAACTCTGTGGTTGGGGTTTGGGAACAAGGCAAGGGGCTGTCTGACCTCCTCCAACAAGAGGACAGTGTAGTTTACTTGGGCTTGTCACTATTTCAGTAACCTCTTTTACACAATGAAGATAAGAATCCATACCCTGCTTACCTCACAGGGATTGCTGTGCCAAGGTCACCTCTTCCAGAGAGCCTTCCCTGACTGCTCCCAAGCTGAGGGGGTCTCTCTTCTCTGCTCCCACAGCCATGGCGAGTCTCCTCCATCATAGCACTTTCCCCTATGCATTGCAAATGGCTCTTTTCCTCTGTTTGCTCCAGTCTCTGCGCCATGAAGGCAGGAGCTGGGTCAGCCTCTTCACTGGGGTCCCCACACCCAGCACCTGGCATATGGTAGGTGCTCACTGCCCATCTTTGTTAGACTAAACTGAATGGAAAGTGCTCTGAACACATTCTAAGACCTGGTTACCCCTGGCACAAAGCAAAAGCTCCCTTCAAGGTTTGTGAGTAGAAGGTTTTCTACCTGTGGCAGATGCATAGCAAGGCCCAAAATAGTCACCATGGACTTCCTTCTGGAAGTCCCCTTGGCTTCCAGAGTGGAAGTGCTGGAGCTTGGTGCCGATGGTGAACACCACCCCAGTTTAGCTCTTGACAGCTGATCCTAGACGCTTTCCCAGCTGAAAGTTTCTTGGGCTCAATAGGTCCAGGTTGCTTTACTCCTGACGTGCCCTGTTATCCCACACTGTTCACACACACCCATGCAAGGAGTCAGAGTGTGAAAGGGAAAGCATGGTGGCCCATCCCAAATTGCCACTTTACTTTGGGATATAGCCAACTGAACGCACGCACACATACTCACAGACACACTCACTTACTCATTCATTCACTGAGCACTTACTCTGTACCAGGCCCTGTGCTGCCGAATACAGGGTCCACAGGTGGTAGGGACAGGGTCCTGCATTTAGGAAGCTCGTCGTCTAGTGGGAGAGCAGACATATAAATAGTATATTGAGACTGTGAGGAGATAAGATTGCCCATGTGGCAGGGCACCTTCCCCTCCCCTCTTAATGCTCCTCCACCTGCTAAGGGGTATCCTGTCTTTGCCATTCCAGGATTTTAGGAAAATGAGAGACAGGATCAAAAGACTGGGAGAAAGAAATCTGGTTTTCAGGGTCATTTTTCAATTTCTTCTTTGTTGTGGAGAATCAAGGTTATGAGCAAGTTGAAATTAGAGGTTAAATCAATTCATATAATGAGAGGTTAACTTCACACTCACCAAGATGGCTATTGTCAAAGAAAATGGAAAATAAGTATTGGCAAGGATGTAGAAAAACTGGGACCCTCATTTACTGCTGGTGGGAATGTAAAATAGTGCAGTCACTGTGGGAAACAGTTTGACAGTACCTCAAAAGGTTAAATAGAATTACCATATGGCCCAGCAAGTCCAATTCTACATATATACTCAAGAGAATTGAGAACAAGGATTCAAATAGGTATTTATATACTGTGTTCACAGCAGGTTTATATTCATAGTAGCCAAATGGTGGAAACAACCCAAATGTCCATCAACAGATGAATGGATAAAAATGTGCTCTATCCAAACAATGAAATATTATTTGGTCATTAAAAAGAATGAAATTCTGATACATGCTACAACACAGATGAACCTCGAAAACATTATACTAAACCACACACAAAGGGCAAACACTGTATGATTCCACTTAGATGAGGTACCTAGAATAGGCTGATTCATAAACAGAGGGTAGAATATAGAGGTTACCAGGGGCCGGGGATGCGAGAAATGGGTGTTACTGCTTTATGGGTGCAGAGTTTCTGTTTGGGATGATGAAAAGTTCTGGAAATAGATAGTG